AAAGATTATCAATTTCCATTTTATAAGTTATGCATGAGGTACAGGCAGGCTCCCCAAACTCCACTACATCCTCTGCGCTTGTAGCTGTGATTCCTTCCCCTTCGTACTTCTAGTCTGCTCCCACTTTTCCATCTTCTGTTAGTCATGTGAAAACTGCCCGCTCCTGATGAAGCAGTCCCTCTTCCCTCTATCTGAGGGTCCTGTGGCACCTTTAAGACTAACAGAAGAGAGTTAGTCTTAAAGGTACCACAGGACCCTCTGTTGCTTTTTACAGATTCAGACTAACACGGCTACCCCTCTGATACTTCCCTCTATCTGAATCCCTTTCCCTCGCCACGGAGAGCATTCTTCCACTGCAGAGACTTCCTGAGCTTTCTCCATTACCGCTGAAACTTTTACTCCGAGAAACCCACGAACCTCTAATGATCGCTGCTTGCTCCCACTGAAACCATATCCCCTGAACAGAGACATCCCTTCACAGACCATTTCCCAATCCTTCCCAGCTAGCACTGAACTAACTACTCAGCAAAATGTTCTGTGTCCTACCAACCCACACACTGTCCCTTATCTTCACCAGCCTCCCAGACCAGGATTCCTGATCCTGCCTCACTTCCTTCCTCCCATAAACCACTCCACAATGGGACTCAAGGGCCTCTTCTGATCTCTCTAGCTAACAGATTCTGGCAGCTAGCTTTTCAGTTTCTCTATTGGACTGAACTGAAGTAAAATACAAACATTTGTGATTAAAGAAAATTTTTGTTTCCACAAGTTAGGGCTTGAATAACCTTATTTTGTACTGTATTGCTATTTATATATTATGGGCTCTTTCTTTTGCTAAGACTTGTTTTTCTAAAAGAAGGTGGAAGAGCTTTGTCATAGACAGCAGGCCTTTAGGCAAGTCACAATATAAAAATAGCTCTGATGAGAGCATAATGCATGGTTTTGTTGTGTTCCCCTCCTCCTCCCCGTTCCCGCAAGGGAGCCATCTAGAATATACTGCAGCATGCTGTCTGCCACTGAATCTGTGTTAAAATTAAAAATATAACAGTGTATTTAAATCATGAAAATATGATTCAGAATTAGCTAGTAAAATTTCTTGTTTGCAAGCCACATGGACTGCTTTTGCACTTGGGAAATACACCATTGTGACACAATACTTATATATTATGATGTAATATGAGCCAGCATAATATGCATTGCAACCAGTGCAATCACAAACAAGTGAATGTCTACACCAAAATATTATCATTTGCTATTCTTAATAGGGACAGATTTATTTAAAATAATCCTCATGTTCTTCACCTTTTCAAGTATGCAAGTAAGGGAAGGGAGAGAGTTCAGTCTGTAATTTATAAAGAAATTTGGTTTTAGGCAGGAGAACATTGATCATATTATAGTAGTGATACTAAACACACACCTTTATATTGACCAACTAGAATGTACATGAATCCATTGGCTACCGTTTTGCTGATCTTCCTATCTTAACGATGAGCCACACAACAGTAAAGAACTGATATGTAGTCTTTCATAGATAACTTTTTAAAAAACAGAAATGAAAGGAAAGAAAAATGAATTTAGAGAGTCTAGAATAAAATAACAAGGAGTCTGGTGGCACCTTAAAAACTAACATTTATTTGGGCATAAGCTTTTGTGGGTAAAAACCTCACTTCTTCAGATGCATGTGGGCCTAAAGAAGTGAGGTTTTTACCCACAAAAGCTTATGCCCAAATAAATCTGTTAGCCTTTAAGGTGCCACCAGACTCCTTGTTGTTTTTGTAGATACAGACTAACACAGCTACCCCCGATACTAGCATAAAATGGTTGCCATAGAAAAGGAATAACAAAATATAGGCAGAATGGCAGTTACCCACACTTTTTTTCTTACACAAATATACGATGGTCTCCTGTTATGACACTGAGTATGCTGAAGAAGCTAAATAGATTTCTGTATAGCACATGTTGTAATGCAAGGATTGGCATGGCATGCAAGGACAGTCAAAGAAGGGTCACGTGATTTAAGGCACAGGACTAGGAATGATGAAAGGAGGAGAGGTCTGTTTCTGGCTGTGCCACAGACCTGTTATGTGACCTTGGTTGAGTCACACAACTTCTGTGTCTATTGTCCCATCTGTACAATGATGTTAACAGCTACCACCGAGGAGGCTTGCGATTGTAAAGTTGAATTCATTAATGTTAGTGCAGTGTTCTGGGTTTCTTGGAATGAAGGTGCTGTAAAAGTGTAAATGTTATAATTACAGTATGTTTGAGATAGAGCTGCTAATGTCTTTCATTAATCAACTAAAATAGATTTGTCCCCTCTATCAGACAGTGGGATAGAAATAGTGTAAATATTTATGATAAGAGCATATTGTTCACTTTTTGTTAAAGGCATAATGCGGCTTCCATGTAAAAGATACAGTAATAATGATTTTCTGAACAAATATATACTTGGAGTCCATTACAGCAGTAATTTATGAGCAGCGACAGTACGTTTTAAAGTGGAAGATGGAGATGGAACTCAGTGTTATATCACTGCTATGCAACAGGAAAATATCAGTGCCTAGCACAATGGGGACCCATCCTTAGTTGGTCCCTTGGCACTACTGTGATGAACATGGATTAATAATCGAAACATGATTTTTTTATAGTAGTATAGGAAAGTTAAATCAAAGACACACAGTAGGTGGAGGCGCAAGGAGAAGTTTTCACATGCTAGTGGATTAGGCCTTTTATATAAATCATGACCATAGAATGCAGTCCTTTTTCAAAGCAAAACTGCCATTGTCTTCAAATGGTGTCTAGCCTTATTGAGGAATTTGGAAGTGGCCACTTAGTTCTAAGTTAAAATTAGTAAAGTTATTTACTTCTCTTGGTTCATTGATTTCTTTCTTACTATATACATCTTACAATCTGCTAGTGCTGTTGGCTTGGGCCCAATCCTGCAAGATACTGAGAGCCATTAGGTTCCAAGCAGCTCACAAGGAGGTACTGAAAACCTTGCAGATTTTTACCTTTCTTGTTCAAATTACAATACTGTGCAATAAGAGCTAAATTCTGAAACTATTGCTCCTACTATACTTTTGGAGTAACTAAAGGACTGACCCTGCAAGCCTTAAAAGATTTTGCCTGTTCCCTTTGAACCTGTGAAATGGTTTGTGTGAAATCAGTAGTACTGCTTGTGTGCAAACAAATTATTCAAAAAAAAGTAGGGCTTTGCACAATCAGGCCCTGAGTAATCAGAATGTAAGTCCTGCTAAGAATTGATATGTTGTGTTACTCTGAGCTTTTCAGATAAATCTGATTTATCTGACCTTTAGCTGTCATCACAGTGAATATAATTGAAATAGTGTATACTGCTAGTACTGGTGTTTTATATTTGAACATCTATAAGAACTGTTGGCTTAAAACTAATATGCCTGTAGAATACCAGTTGATGAAACAAAGTCCGATTAAATTTAATCATATTCATGGTAGCCAGATTGTATAAATTGGGAACTGCATCACTTAACACGTCTCATTTAAACCATTTTCCAGGGCACAAATAGACACCCCCGCATTGTTCACAAAAAAAATAGGCAGACTATATTTTTATTAGACACTTGCTGTTCAAGTGACTGATCTGTCAAAACTCTGAGCACCCTCAATTCTCCTTATAGTCAAAGGGAGTTGAAGGCACCCAGCATCTTACAAAATTTGACCCAAGTAGCTAGAGCTGTGCCAAATAAATTAAAACTGAAAACCTATTTTATTTGCCATTTAAAAAAAAAGGAAAATAGATTAATAGATTTTAAGGCCTGAGATGTCCACCTTGATCATCTAATTATAACTGGAAAGTTTTTCATCATGAGGAACAGGTAGTCATTTGCCATGGCGGAAAAAAATCTGATTAGGGAAACTGAAAGTGGCAACATCGTGGGAGGAAAGAACTGACTGTTAAAACATAAATGTGGTTTGCTGTTAGTTGGTTGGTACTCTCGTCACACTTTTGGGTTGCCTATTTGTTGACAAAAAAAAATTTTTTCCAAAAAAACAGTGACTGGATGGCCCAAGAGATTTGTAAAGGGATATGGAGCTTTTTACCGGTAGCTAGCTAGTTCAAATCCTGCCCAGGACAGTAGTTTTCATAAAAGTAAACAAAAGTCATAATCTCCACGAAAAGATTGGTGATGCCAATCCCCTTCCTAATGTACCCATATCCATAGAAACTACTGGCACCTTCACTAGGCAATGTCAGCAAAGGCTTTAGTGGGCACTTAAAGACTAAACTAAACGTTCTTTCCAAGAGGTGGCCTCTGCAGGGATCATTTCAAGAGATTCAGGAAGCTTTTTATTTCGATGAATAGGAATCAAAATAGGCACTAAAATTAACTCATCATTTGAGTTTTTTAAGTTCAAAGTCATATTTTTAAGTTCAAAGTCAAAGTAAATAACATGCTTCAAGTAAGTTTTAAATTCATGTTTAAACTCTGCATTTTTTAGCTACACTATTTCACTGTGTGAGATTTAAATTCTGACTTAGTCAGAGAGGAGACCAAACCAAAACCAACCACTCCTAGTATTTGGGGTGTGTTCATATTCAGATCTGAACTTCATGGCCTAGTTACATATCTAGAACTCCTACCCGAAGAGTCCTTGTGTTTGTAACATTTTCTCATTTAATTTTGAATTAATTTATATAGTCCATGGAAAGGGAAGAAAATGTAAATTTATCATGTTCTCTGGCTTTTTTTAAACTTCTCATAGGCAAGATTTTCATTTATAATGACATTATGGCTTACCATTGATCATACAGAGTTGGGTTTGTTCTGTGGGAAAGAACTGTGGTAACTTCTTGGTGCCTGTGCCTTAACCTGACCTTGTTACAAAAAGTACATTCATGTGTGAGATCTATCAAAAAAAAAAAATTTTGTTACTCCAAAGCCACTTTTTTCTCTTGTTGGTAAGGAAAATCCTTCATTCAGTTGCTGATGTTTCTGGATGTTTTCTGTTTGTAATTTCAGGAGCACAGAAGTCATGAGTTCTGTCTCAGGTACACGAAGTACAACCATCACTTTTACAGTCCGGCCTGGAACCAGCCAGCCCATCACATTGCAGAGCAGGTCCCCAGACTATGACAGTAGGACATCAGGAGTGAGACACGCTCCAAGCCCTGTGGTTTCACCGACAGAGATTAACAAAGACATCATGCCTGCTCCTCTGACTGCTGCTGCTTCAGCTTCATCTCCTTCTCCAACTCTGTCTGATGTATTTAGCCTACCCAGCCAGCCTCCTTCTGGGGACTTATTTGGCTTGAACACAGGACGCAGCAGGTCTCCTTCTCCCTCAATATTGCAACAGCCGATCTCAAATAAGCCTTTTACAACTAAGCCTGTCCACCTGTGGACTAAACCAGATGTGGCAGATTGGTTGGAAAGTCTAAACTTAGGTGAACATAAAGAGACCTTTATGGACAATGAAATAGATGGCACCCATTTACCAAACCTTCAGAAGGAAGACTTGATAGACCTTGGAGTGACTAGAGTTGGGCACAGAATGAATATAGAAAGAGCTTTGAAACAGCTACTGGACAGATAAAAATGGCTACTCTTGCCTCTCAAACTTCTGTTATAAATAGAGATGGGCTGGTACTGAAATACGCAAAATGTCTTGGCTGTCTGTAAGTGCCAGCAAAAGAAGAAAAGGTTTAATTTAGCTGCTGGTACCCAGTAATGCAGACTGTATGTTTAGTGCCCAAGCTTAAATCCAAGTAAATGAAATTAATGAGGCTATTTTATTTCACAGGTGGGGGTGGGGAGGTGTGGGGTGGAGATAGAGAAGAAAGATAATTGTTAACTTTGAAATATTACCTATCCATTTATGATGCCCTTCAGCTGGATCCAGAATGTATAAGTTTTCTTTTGGTTTAAAACCACAAGCATTTCATTTTTGAGCAGAAATCACCTTATTTTATATACACCTCTCCCCTGCCATCCAGGGTAGTCCATTCTTGAAACTCTTGTCATGGAATCTCAACATTTTTTCCCTTTTTGGCTTTTTTAGATAGATCCTCACGTGTTTTACCTTTTTTTAACCAGCTTTTAATTAATAAATAGCAGATGCACTACTTCACCCCCTCTTTCACAATGTCATTTTGATCCAGTGTAGAGCTTTGTTTTGTTGGCAGTGAAGCTGATAGTACTGTTGGAGACTCTTGTTCAAAGGTAACTGTTCTGCTTTACTTAGGTATTTCTTTATTTCTGCGTTTATATTTAGCACAATTCCAAGGTAGCAGAACAGGTTTTAAACATGCTGTACTGACCTGATAAGTAGAATGTGGAAACTATGTATAGACTGGAAGAGAATTCGCTCAGAGATCCAACGAAATGAGGCTAGTTTGAACCAGACATCCCCATTTTGCAACCAGATAAACTGCTAATGAAGCCCAACATATACTATATGAGCAGATTAAAATGTGGTTGTAAAGTGTGTTGGCTATAATGTGTCCATGTGCATCTTTTAGACTTTTATAGTCAGATTTTTCAAACATGCTGAGCCCCCACAGATCCTGCTTAATTCATTGAGTTGCAAGTACTCAACAACTCTGAAAAACTGGGATATAAGACAGGATATTGCTTCCATGGAAGTTAGTGGGAATGTTGGCACTGACAACTGGGAGCAGGATTGGGGCCTGTTAGTAGAAATAAAAATGTTTCCGCACGTGATCACCTACAGTTTAAAAAATATTTAAAAGGTAAATGTTAATGGGGGGAGATGTGGTGTCCTAGAATGCAAGTGTTCCAAAGGGCCAGGAAAACAGAGAGGTCCAGATTTATGGACTTGCTTTATCCTTTCCTGGCTAGCCTGGGTTGGGCTATTGGTGGAGGAAGCATAGTCAATGCCTAAGCAGGAGCAGAAAGCTTCCCATCACTCTCTAGTGACTTCTTTACTGTGTTCCGAAATTATTAGTAGCAGGGTCCAGAGAGCGATCCATCAAGCCCTGATCAGCATTACAGACAATTGGCCCACATTGGGGTTGATTGTTGACTGGTTCTGCGCTCTCTGTGTACTCTGAGCATACACAGTTTTGGCAGATTTGACTCTTTTTTTTTTTTAAAGTTAACAATTTTCTCTCCGTGTCTGACCCCTTTTATAATTAACACCTCTATTAATTTCTGTAGGAGTTTTGTGGGTCTTGCTTTCTGAACATTCAACCTGTTCAAGGCAGGCACATCATGTATGGACAGCCAGACTCTCAACCTACCATACTATCAGGTTCTCCCACCTTTTGGAAGGTTCCTGATTTTTTTCCTTGCTATGATCCAGCCTATCTCTAATTATAATTTTTTTATTTTATTTTATTTTATTTTTTTTGCTCACAATCAAGTGTCTAATTAGGTCTGCAACAGCCCTAGAACAAGTACATAAAGTTTAGCAATTTAAATACCTTTCTTTACTGCAAGTTTAAATAGTTGTACAGATAGTTTATAAGCACAATATTTTAAGAAAATAAGTGGCTGGTCTACTGGGCAGCCTTTGTGCCACTTCAGTGCTAGAATGTTAAAAAATAAAAATTAAAAAAAAATTAAAAAACACTTTTGTGGTTTAATACTATTTCTGTGGAATAATAAGTCTTGACCTTTTTAAATCAACCTCATTTGGATGCATCTGAACCAGCAGAGCTGTGTTATATTTTCTATTTTTCCTAGAACTTCTTCAAAGGAGGATGAATACTTCTTCAAAAGTGATTACACAATTAACAATGCATTAGCAAAGCAACTATTCAACCTCCTGCCCCCTTTATGGAACAAATCTTTTGACTTAACATCTGTTACTACACTCTTTGCAGGTCTATATTTGTATTTGAAAGTTCCAAGTAACCTTGTAATAAAAATCAAATATTGAGGCATTTTACTTTCAAGAGTACTGAGTTTTTCCATAGTTATATGGCTATTGTTGTAGAGAATGACATTTTCATTCAGATATTCAATAATGGCACCTTAAGGCCATCAAATACTTTAAAAAGTGTAAAAATGGTAATTCAGCCATCATTGTCTTCCATTTGGTGATATTACAGAATTCAGTAAATAAACCACTAATGCCATGCTCCTTTTTGTTTCTTTGACTACAGTTGGTATTACCTCTATAATATGTGCCAGAAAATACATTAGATAATACGGTAGTAAAAGAAAATGTAGATGATGACTTTTAAGCTGCTTTTTAATCACAACCTTATTGTTGAATTTAGGTTTAATGAGTGCTGACATACACAAGTAAATTACAGCTGATGGTATCCCTTTCTTAAACAAGTGTTGTTTCTTGCTTATGTATCTTTTCAGGCACTTAAAGAATAGGTACAGTATAATTAGTAGAACAGAGATTAAAAACACTAAAGAGCTAATGAAATAGTTTATTTTTACATTGTGTCTTATGATCTAAAGGGTAACAGGGCCTGAAAGGACCTACTTTTACCAATAAAATACACCTCTGCCAAGATGAATTGGTCTCTAGCTCTGTTTGATGACTTTGCTACAGAAAGCAATAGTAACAGATAAAACTCCTAGTATTTTCATCACTTTTGGAAATGTTGGGGTGAGGGAATGGCCCTATTATTTCACGCTACTATGATAGTGGAGAAGAAAATGTTAGAGATCTATGAAACATGTAATGATATTCCAGGTTTTAGGATCAACTTTTGTTTATATACTGTAATTTAAATAAATTGCATTTACATGCCTAGTTTCTGTAATATTTGTGTATACAATACCAAAATCACACAAGATGTAAATTGTGTATAACTGCAGACTCCTTTCCCTGAGTGTCTGGGAACATTTTAAGTTTAATTCATATATTATAAAATGACTAGATGTGACTGTTGATTTACAGAATTTACATATCACAAAAGCTAATTATTTGTGGTACTTAAGTTAATAAAAATAGTGATTTTCTGAGTTCTTAAACAAGCATTACCCAGTTGATCTGGCAATGATTGTGTGTAAGCCACAAATATTGATAATTTTTCCATTACATTTTTTCTTTTCTTTTCTAGATATTAATGTTTCTCAATATAGTTTGTGTAACAATTTGTGTTCACGTTATCTATGTTGCTGTAATTTTTGTGCTTTAATTCCTCTTATTTCAAATTGATTAAAAATCAAGCTCCTGTAACTTGCACTTTCCCTGATCCTTAATACTCTTGTATGGCAACCAAAATTCCTGTAAGAAATAAATATAATATTGCACTAAGGTTGTGGTTCTGATTGCAAACAGTAAAAGCTGTCTGAATTTTTGTTAAAAAGTTGCCAAAATTACAATCTAATGTAACGTTATTGAAACAGCATAAAATGCTTTAACTGCATATAGCTAGAGAGAAAATAGGTTTATCAAATGTTAGAAAAAAAAAAGTTTGCTTTGGTTTCTCTTTCTTAGTTAAAGCTTTTTTAATGCTGAAACCAAATAGGTTTTGAATTTCAGATTCACATATAAGATTTGAAAAGTAAAGAATTTTGTTAAGTGATGGAATTTTTTTTTTTTTGGCTTGGAAATGATTTCAGCTGATCATTTTTCTGGACTTGAGGTCGATCTTTATTTTGGTGTTATCAAATAAGTGTAATTGATCATGCAAGACATTTGAATTGTTGGCCTGCTTAGCAATCTGGTGAAATTCTAACAGGGTTCTTGTAGGAGAGAGATGCATTACAAAGAGCGAAGAAAAAGCAGCAGCAGTCCTTATCCAGAGTTCAGACCTCTTGTGATAAAGACACTACCGCCATACTTCATTAGTACTTTGGATAAGTTGGGCTCCACATTCTTCTTCTATCTTTAATTGTTAACTTGAAGAATTTTTTTTAGATATTGAAATAAATATTTTAACTGCAGTCATTCTGTTTCATATCTAATGTTTACTTTTTTCCTGGGATGATGATCTATTTCTTCTACTTTTTTTGTATTTATTTTCTGTTTTTCCTACATAGTATTCTAATATCAACAGCTTTCATTTATTTCAGGTATTTTAATAATTGAATTATACAGAATATCTTTATCTGTAGGTATACATGTCAGTACATGATAAAATTAATAAAAAATAGTTGTGTAATACACAACTATAGCATGCTGTGGAACTGCTAATTCTATGTGGGAATCTGAGAGCAGAATATTTAATAATTTCTATTATTATCCAAATTATATTGGTGTTTTTTTCTCTTGTTCCTGTAATATGTTTCTGCATTTCACAGTCTTCACAATTTTATGTCCAAGATCACAACAAAACACTGTCCAGTGCTACTAATCTGGAACCGTATGGTTATAGTAAATCAATGATGCTTCAAAACACACAAAAAGGAAAAAAGTGTGTGCCTTGGATGTTTTGAATCTGATCTGCATAAAACCATGTTGTATTCAAATGATGTACTTAGATGAAAGGAACATTTTATCATCAATGTATTGTCGTAGCTGATAAAATAGTTAGAGTGCCTTGTTTTCTGAACTGAGACGTCCCTATCAATGCACAACTAAAAAGGGTTAAAAAAACCGAAATGTTAAGATCTAGATATTATTCTGGGGCCCTCTCTTGATCATGAGACTATGACTTAATCACAGTCATTTAAGTTAAACTAAATAAAATAAAGAAAATTGAAATAAGATTGTGTTTGTTAATTTCCATTAACAAATTTATTTCTATAACATACACTTAGAATATAATTATTTAGTTAAGTGTACTGTATTTTGATTGCAAGGTAACGGATACAATAACTAAAACAAATAAGCTTTTGCTTTTAATTATGTTCATGTTTTATGCTGACATCTAGTGGTCTTTGAGGGCCATGGTCTCGGAGCTGTATTTTTATATAGGCACAGCATGTTTTTAAACCTTTATTTCTTTTGATTTAAAATATAATTAATATATGCATTCTTTCAACAGAAATTCATCAAAATGAATTTGACAGCTGCATGTTGGGCTAACTATATAAGTCCAAGAATAAGGCTGAATTATTGACACATTTTTTTCAGTAAATATGCAGTGTTTAAGGAATTGCAACTTGTGTTTTTCAGACTGCATCTCTATACTGCACCTTCAACTTTAGTAGGCATGTTTTTGTTAGAGTGACAAATAGATTTTGCCTGCAGCATTGAAAATCTTGGACCACTAAAAAAGTTTCATTAAAATGTTAAAGATAAGCCAGAATTTTCAAATCCAGATTGCAAATACCCTACAGTTCATGGTGTTTTGAGTGGGGGAGCTAGTTCAGTAGATCATAAAGGTGGGTGGTCATTTCCCAAAATGTGGATGCAGAACTGTGCTTGGGTTTTTTAATCCAAAATGTACGCAGGCCTAACTCTAAAAAGCGTGTATGGATTTCTAACTTGAAGTTTCCTGGTTTAGACGTTAATTTGTGAGTGGGAGAACAGCACTATATTTATTAAAATGTACTGGCATAAATGCTGCAGCATACTATACTCCTTTTCCCCTCAGAGATTCTACAACCGCCACTGTAGAGAAATCTCAAGTTGGACTCAATAACATTAATGTTTTAAAGAACTAGTTTTTCCATTCATGCCTTTCCATAACCTTAAATGGTGTCCATTTTAAATTTCCTTACATAAGAACTGAGATGAGATGTTAGATACCTTCCAGATCTCAGGCTTCAGTTAATATTCTCTTCCCCTTGAACAAACTTCTGGAAAAAAAAATTTTTCAGGAGATGTATATGTTAGTTCTCTTTTAAGGATGAGCCTGAAGAAAATTATAGGCTTGATGTGACTGCATCACAGCTATTTCTAAGTCAATATTGATACTGTAAATAGATTCAAGTCAAGGTAGCAGTCTCAGATTCGTCACCAGAAGGGTAGAGAACTGATGAACTTCTCTCACATGAGCTGCGTAAGGGGAGTTGACTTCCTGATGCAAAGGAGACTAGTATAGAATTAGAAATAGTGCTTATTTGCTGTTGCCAGTTTATCAGAACACCTCCAAAATAATTTTATTCAAATTTCTAAATAGACAAACTAGATGTATATATTTAAATACATCTTGCTAAAATAGTACTTTCTTACCATTACTCTGGTAAGGCCACATCTCCTATCAACTATCCGTTCTGTTACAGCAGACTTCTTACAATGTAATCAACTACCTTTCCTCTAGTTGGGGGGGTGGAATACTGTGTATAAGCAACATTCCAAAAATATTGCCTGTTCTCTTTCATTCAGATGTAATACTTTACCAACACAATAATACTTTGCACCTTTCCTCTGGGAAGCTCTGACCACTCTAGAAATGTTGGTAAGTGTTCTCTGCAGGTGCAGAGATTGAAGCACAGAAAGGTGAAGTGTTTTGCTCAGTACTTTGCAATGAGCACAGAGGTTTAATTGTGGGGAATGATGTCTCAGGTGGCATTATTCTGTCTGGTTCTGTTCAATATCTTTAGCAATATCTTTGGCAATATCTCAATGCCATTTAGATGATGGCATAGAGAATACACTTATAACATTTGCAGACGATACCAAGCTGGGAGGGGGGTGAAAATGCTTTAGAGAATAGGATTAAAATTCAAAATGAGCTGGACAAATGGTTTAAAGTAAATAGGATGAAATTCCATAGGGACAAATGCAAAGTACTCCACTTGGGAAGGAACAATCAGTTGCACACATACAAAATGGGAAATGATGGTCTAGGAAGGAGTACTGCAGAAAGAGATCGGGGGGGGGGAGAGATCATAGTGGATCACAAGCTAAATATGAGTCAACACTGTTGCAAAAAAAGCAAACCTCATCCTGGGCTGTATTACCAGGAGTGTTATAAGCAAGACATGAGAAATAATTCTTCCACTCTATTCCTTGCTGATTAGGCCTCAACTGGAGTGTTGTGTCCAGTTCTGGGTTCCACATTTCAGGAAAGATGTGGACAAATTGGAGAAAGTTCAGAGAAGAGCAACAAAAATTATTAAAGGTCTAAAAAATTGGGTTTGTTTAGTTTGGAGAAGAGAAGACAGAGGGGACATGTGGCACTTTGTACCTCAGAGCAACAGCCTGGAATCCCCATATTCTGGTGTTGTATAGTTATATTTCATACAAAGCATGCCATGTAAGATAGCATATGAAAAGTCATGATCTGCGGAAACCCATTGTTGCGTCCGAATATGTATACCATTAGTGTGCGTGAAGTTGAGATTTTGCTGCATGGCTGTTACTGAAATATGTTGTAAGTTTGAGAAGCTCTACTGCTAGTCCCCAGTGCCAACAAGGGTGGTGCTCCACACCCATTATTTAGCTAAGGAGTTGTAAGCAAGGGCTTTACAAATCTGTAAGAGAAGCACCACATAATGGGGGATTGCTCAACCCTGTGACTCAGCAGAGCCCGCCAGAACATGTCTGGGCTAATGTTTTCCAGGCACATGGACTGAGAATATAAAACAGACAGTGGCATCATGCTTTTGCCTTTCTCCTTTCCCATCTATGCTGGAAGCAACATGAACATTGGGAAGATAAAAACTTCAACTGAGGAGACTGATCCCAGGCTTAAAAGGGGAAGCCTGTATATTAAGAACTGTAACATTTGGTGAGGTGAGAAAACTGCTTGATCCCAGTACTACCTAGTGTAATAAGGTTTAAGATTTAGAAGTGTGCTTACTTTTTATTTTCTTTGGTAACTAGCTCTGACCTTTTATGCCTACCATTTATAATCACTTTAAAACAGATTTATTAACTACAGAAAGATAGATTTTTTTGTCACCTAAAGCAATGTGTTTTGGTTGAAGTGCTTGGAAAATCTCAGCTCAGTCTATAAGGGTTAGTGTGTGTCCTCGTCACAGGGAGGGGTGGAATGGGTAATAAACTTATACTGCCACTGGTCAGGTTTCTGACCAGGACAAGACAGTACAGTTCTGAGATGCAAGGCTTGGGAACTGGGGGGGGAATTGCCTGGTGCCTTTCTCTGTGATTCATTAGTGGCTCAGGGAGCATTTATACAATCCAGATGTGTGGAGGGGCTCCATATGCTATTGTGCTGGGTGATAACCGTGCCTAGAGGGGTTGGCTGCTTGTCACTAACAAAGCATTGTGAGAAATACCCAGGCTGGAGAGTTAACAGGGCACAACAGTACCCTGCTCTCAGGTTGCTTGCCAGGGATCCTGTCACAGGACACGCTAGTTTTCAAGTACATAAAAGGTTGTTTCAAGGAGGAGGGAGAAAAACTGTTTTCGTTAACCTCTGTGGCTAGGACAAGAGGCAATGGGCTTAAGTTACAGCAAGGGCAGTTTAGATTGGACATTAGGAAAAGCTTCCTATCAGGGTGGCAAGCACGGGTAGTGATCAATGGCTCCATGTCTAGTTGGCAGCCGGTATCAAGCAGAGTGCCCCAAGGGTCGGTCCTGGGGATGATTTTGTTCAATATCTTCATTAATAATCTGGAGGATGGCGTGGACTGCACCCTCAGCAAGTTTGCAGATGACACTAAACTGGGAGGAGTGGTAGATACACTGGAGGGTAGGGATAGGATACAGAGACAGGGTATAGATATAGACCTAGACAAATTAGAGGATTGGGCCAAAAGAAAGCTAATGAGGTTCAACAAGGACAAGTGCAGAGTCCTGCACTTAGGACGGAAGAATCCCATGCACTGCTACAGACTAGGGACCGAATGGCTAGGCAGCAGTTCTGCAGAAAAGGACCTAGGGGTTACAGTGGATGAGAAGCTAGATATGAGTCGACAGTGTGCCCTTGTTGCCAAGAAGGCTAATGGCATTTTGGGCTGTATACGTAGGGGCATTGCCAGCAGATAAAGGGGACGTGATCATTCCCCTCTATTCAACATTGGTGAGGCCTCATCTGGAGTACTGTGTCCAGTTTTGGGCCCCACACTACAAGAAGGATGTGGAAAATTGGGATGAGTCCAGCAGAGGGCAACAAAAATTATTAGGCAGCTGGAGCACATGACTTATGAGGAGAGGCTGAGGGAACTGGGATTGTTGAGTCTGCAGAAGAGAATAATGAGGGGGGGGATTTGATAGCTGCTTTCAACTACCTGAAAGGGGGTTCCAAAGAGGATGGCTCTAGACTGTTCTCAGTGGTACCAGATGACAGAACAAGGAGTAATGGTCTCAAGTTGCAGTGGGGGAGGTTTAGGTTGGATATTAGTAAAAACTTTTTCATGAGGAGGGTGGTGAAGCACTGGAATGACTTACCTAGGGAGGTGGTGGAATCTCCTTCCTTAGAGGTTTTTAAGGTCAGGCTTGACAAAGCCCTGGCTGGGATGATTTAATTGGGGATTGGTTCTGCTTTGAGCAGCGGGTTGGACTAGATGACCTCCTGAGGTCCCTTCAACCCTGATATTCTATAATTCACTAGCATAAATTGTCTAGAGAAGTTGTAGACTCTCCATCAGTGGAGACTTTTAAGAGCAGGTTCAGCAAACATCAGTCAGGGATGATCTAAATAATACTTAGTCCTGCCATGAGTGCAGGGAGTGGACTAGGTGACCTCTCAAGGTCCCTTCCAGTCCTATGATTTTATGTTGAGTGATGCACTTTCAGAGCTAGACACGTGGATGATAACTTTTCTAATCCATCATCTCTGGACTTTGATAGCTTCTTACATTGCTACACTATTATGGAGAGGAATTGATGAC